GAAATGTCTGTAAATTTATTAAAAAGGAAAAACTGAAATATCACATTGGCATAAGTATTCATATTCTTTGCAACAACACTTGGAATTTAGCTCAGATACCTTCCATTTCTCTTGATCGTTGCTGAGCTGTTTCTACCCCTTGACTGGAGTCCACATGCAGTAAATTAAATTGATTGGACATGATTTGGAACAGCACATACCTCTCTACAGAAGGCCTCACAGCTGACAATGCATACTGTACCAGAGCAAAAGCCATGAGGTGAAAGGAACTGCCTGCAGAGCTCAGAGACAGGATTATTGCAAGGCACAGATCTGGGGAAGGCTACAAAAAAATTTCTACTGCACTGAAGGTTCCCAAGAGCACAGTGGCCTCCATAATTCTCAAATGGAAGATGTTTGGCAGAACCAGGGCTCTTCCAAGAGCTGGTCGCCCAGCTAAACTTTGCAAAAATCTTAACCAACTTAGGACTCCATTTTTTATATATATACATTTAATGAATGAGAATGGTCACTTCTTGCTTATCATTTGGAATTTTGGGAAAGGATACATATGTCTGGAAAGTCTGAAGTAGCTACTTTTAACTGGAGTACTGCCCTTTTAATTAATACAGTTTATCAGGAATAGCAGATTGATTTGGGAAGCTAGTTAATCAAGAGGGCTATTTCCATATAAGACCACAATAGGTTGTTCCCTGTTTAAGAAATCCTTAGATTCCAACAAATTGAATATTATCATCATTTTATGTCTAAGGTATTAAATATATAATTTGTAGACCTAACATGTCTGGCACAGCTTTAATATTATGTACTGGATGAAACAGATAATCTGGATCCATATGAATCAGTTTCAGGTTCATGATCAATTTTGAAACAGTTTGTGAGATTAATCATCTCTGCTGGCAACTATAAATTGGAAGAGTATCCCTACTAGTTTTGCTGGATTTCTCAGCAACTTCCGATATCATCATGGCATCCTGAGCCCCAAAAGCGAAAGGCATGGCAGGTATAATTTTAGGGGGTTCAGACCATGCTCACAGAACTCAAAAGCTCTTATTGAAAGGTACCAATTTGACAAAATTACCATGCAGCATATTTGGGAATCTATTTTATCCTACATGCTTGATAATATGTGAAGGTCATTAGACAGTTTGAGGTAGGATGTCTTCAATTATATATCTCACTCTGAGATATGTTTGGAAGCAATAATAATCTGAATGAGGACTAATGAAGATAGACAAGATGAAGTCCATCTATTTAGAAATAAACTGATCTGGATTTGAGTATACAAGTGACTCCAGAGGGGTTATGCCCCCTATGAAGAAGCAATTTGCAGCTTCTTGTTCCCTCATCTGATTTTACCATTATCTCTCCATCTTCATATGATTTACATCCTGTCTTTCCTCCAAGATCCAAAGGCAGCTTACTCTGGGATCTCTGTTTTATCTACTCAACATAGGATAGGTATGTTGGACTGAGAAAGACTGACTGTCCCTAAGTCACCCACTAAGTTTTCATAACTGAGGGTGGATTTGAATATGGGTCCAGTCCTAGTTCAACATCTTAACTATTATACCCTTTATGATATATAAATATCTGCTATGCTAGCAAGCAGCTTATTCTCAAACTTTAAGCACTATCAATCAATTTATTTATTTCAATCAAAGGTTATACACAGAAAAAAAAATCAAGTTTAAAAAACAAAAATTATAATTTTAATAATTAAATAAATGTGAAGAGAAAAATAACATTATACACAGATAAAAAATAACACAAACTAGACTTTGGAGGAGGTATGGAAATCTGAAGATGGTTCTGTGAAAGTGGAGCCGATGACTGTGGCAAAGACCAAAGAACAGGTGAGTAGACCGTTTCCTTGGAACCTCTCCGGATAAGGAGAGGATGGGAGATTGCCCACATTGCTCTGGACGGCTGCTCCTTGCGAGGAGACCACAGACAGCAGTTTCCCGCAGGTTTGAATGCTGGGAGATGACAGGATCAGCCACATTGCTCGCAACCATGGTGAAGCCATTTAAAAGACACTAAGTTCACAAACCTCCCTTTCTAACCACTTTCGGAAATTGCCTATTAACTATCTTAAAGCTATTAGAAACCTTTGGAATGACAAATTTGAAAAGTTTTCATCAGATGAGTTATCTTCAACTCTGAACAAAAGAAAAATTAATTACAAGCTCAAGAACTTAAAGAATTTGAAATAAACAGCAAAATACTAAATAAGATTTTCATCTAAGGAAGTTATAAACTGATTAAGGGTCCAGATAAATTTGGAATATTGACTTTTACTATAAGATTTTGGAATTAACGATAAAAAATAAATAACTTATTGTGGGAAACAGACTTATTTTGGCTATCTTGGTTATTGCAAGTCATAACAAAAGATAAGTGGTGATTTTAGAAACTGGACACTAGAGAGGATAAAGATTTTAAGCAGAAGAAAAAAAAAATACAAGCCTGATGTCAGTTAATACTGGGACTTACAAAATGACACACAATGTTATAACATCAGAAATATTAAAGGAGATCTTTGAAGAATGGGGCCAGAAGTTAGTAACTACATTATCAACACTGTCAGTAATGATA